CAGATCAGGAAATAAAGGGGGGATGCAACATCACCAGGGCACCCGCCTGGGTACACCCCTGCTGATTCAGAAGAGCTTTTGGGAAGCTCTGAATTTCACAGACTCTATACCAGATTCTGGCATAAATAAAGCTACTTTCCTTCTCCAGACCTGCCAACCAGGAAATTCAGCTCAGCCTGAGTGCTACTACTGATCTTTTCCACCAGAAAACAATTTGAAGGTGTACTTTTAATTGCTAGCCTAACCTGCAATGTTATACTTTAAAGATCTATCACCATCACTACTTTTAACCCAACTTGGCTTTTTGTTTTTTAAAGGGAGGTCCAATCCAGAATAGAAAATCCAAGCGTTGCCTGGAGCTGCAGGAAAACAGTGAAAATGAATTTGGATTTCAACTGGTTCTTCAAAAATGCACTGGCCAGCGCTGGTCTGTAACAAATGTACTGAAAAGCTTGTCATCGTAAGAGATTATAGGAATATCTTCTCCTTGATCCTTTTGCTACTGTGTAGCAAATGTTGCAATGTTGCCTGCTGTACTGTATTTTTTTCTTTCCCTGTTGATTCATTTTTTGCGAGTGCGTGGAAGTGGGGTTTGTGGGCTGAACGTAGAGATTTTTATTTCATAATGATGTTTTCATGCCATTACTAGAGATGCTGAATGACAGGTGATGGTAGCTATCCTAAAATATTTTGCAAATGTAAATAGGAAATAAATGGATAATATTTATAACTTGGACAATAAACTTTTATTGATTTAAAAAAAAAGCCATGCTGCTACCTGATTTTCTTTCTGTGATCAGTTGGTAGACAAAACAGTGTTACAGTTTTTCATTGGCTAAAGCCTGATCCTGGACAGTTGCTTAAATCTCTTCAACTCCCCTGGTGAAATTTGCTAAAATAGTGTCTTGAGTCCATGCATAATGATATTAAATGGGATGAAGAGTACTCAATACCAGGTTGCATCAGATCCTGCCCTGGCTGTGGCTTAATGGTCTTAGGCACATCTAGGAACCAGAAATGGGAGGAAAATGTTGGCTACACTCATACTGTGTACTCAGCACTTGGCAAAGCTTTGAGAGGTTTGTAACAGCCCTACGTGAAGGCTATATAGTGGGATCCTTCTTTCTCCCTATCTCTACTAACTTTTGCTAAGAGTTAGTCTTGTGAAGGGTTTTTTGCCACCATAGCATGCATCTGCTGAAAGAAAGGATTTTTGTTTCTACCCAAAGCTACTCCTTAAACAGCAGCAGCTCTGCTAACTGGAGCCACCTTCTGCTGCATCCACATCAGGGGTTTTGCAAGCACAGCTGTTCCAGCTCTGGGGTCTGATTGTGTCAGGCTCCTCCCCGTCCCCCATCTGACATGGCTATGCCAACAGAACTTGGTTGTGTGAACAAGGCCTGCCTTAGCCTAGTGTCGGTCATGCTAGTGGCCCTGGTTGCCTACTCCTAAAACTGACTCTGAAGTTAGTAACATTGAGTTTCCTGCATTCTCACTAGATCAGCTATTGTTAACAATAGAAAACAATTTTCGATCAGTGTGTACCTTTTAATTTCAACAGCAGCATTTAGTACTTTTCTACTGTTAAAGGGGTAAGCAAAGGAGACATGCTGTTTTTTATTCAAAAGGCACAGCACTGCTACAGTGATGTTGGTTTCATAAGCATTAGTGGCACAGGCTGCACAAGTCCTGCAATTACTGCTCCTAGTCTCTCTGGGTAAGCGAAGTAATGGCTGGAGGCTTTTTGTCACATGATTGCTTATAAACTGGCCTGCAGGTCAAATAAGAAATTTGAAGCTGAGCTGCCGATTGTGAGATCTATAATGTTCTTCCTCCTTTGGGGCTCAAGTTTTTCCATGGCTGAGGAGGACAGAGGTACCAAACACTACAGAAAAAGATGCACAATTCTGCTGAAAGAGAAGGCAAAGTCACAAAAAGGGCTGAGCATCATTCCCTGCTCTCTAACAATATAAAATACAAATCTTCCTTCTCTAGAGAGTGTATACAAGGTGGTGCAGCTGCACACTACAAAAGGGTCTGGAAAGGCTGCATAGAGAGGGATGTTCAAATCGTTCTGTGCTGGCCTTCATCTGGGAGCTTTACCATCAGCTCACAAGCTGATTCAGGCTGGCACAGGGAACTCTTGGAAATCCTACCTGGCCCATGCACTTACTGTGCCCTGTGGAGCCCACTCATTAAGACTCCCTGCAGGATGTTGCACAGGGAATGGCTGAAGAGGGACAGAACTGGGGAGTGGAACAGACAAAGCTTCAGGATCCATCCTTACTTCCTCTGCAAAGAAACTCTATGTGTGGGCCCAGGAGACCCCTTCAGCAATTAGAGTGGAGCAGCAGCTGTACTCTGGCTTGTGGGAATGCTATTAGCTCCCCCACTTCCCCCAGCAAATTTCCCATGCTCTCCGCCAAGATAATCAGGCCACGCTGAGAAGAGGTTTTGTTGCAAAATAAAATCTGCAATGGAAACTCAGCCTTTTTTTAATACAGATCTTGGCTTTGAGAACTGTTTCCATTTAGAATGGACTTTACTTCCTGCCCTGGACCTGTGGGAAGAGCAGACCTATGCTTAAGACATTGGACTGGAAGCCAGGACTCTGTTCTTGACTAAATTCTCAGTCTGTGTCCAGGTGTCCTTGAGAACTCCCAGAAAAAGGACTGTGTCTCATCTTCAACTAGAAAAAAGTTCTTGCAGATTGGTACCAGACAATGCCTTGCTCAAGGTCAACGTTCATAAACCTTGCAAGTGCATGGATCCTGAACTGACTAGCATGCCTCAATTTCAGGGTTGCTAAGAGCAGTCTGTGGAGTACCTGGGGCTGCTGCTTATACGTTGGTCACTTCAGTTAATGATCTGTTGAGTAACAATGGGCAAGTCAGGGGGCTAAAAATTGGTTGAAGGAAAGAGTCAGAGAATCTTTAATGCCAAAAAAGCACTGGTACCACTGCTGCTCTCTGCAGCCTCTGATGGTCCAGGAGTATCTGCATTACCCTCCAATGTGTTTCCCCGAGATAGCAGCAGCCTATTACAAAGAATGTCTACCCACCCACTAGTGCAGACTTCTCATGTCCTTCACAGAAAGGCCCTAGGGTTACTCCTTCCACTAAGTTGAAGTATTGTCATTGTTGAACTAAATGAACAGGAGTAATGTTGCAGTTGGATTCTTACAGCAAGAAGTGTCTGACAACTTATTTTTTGTCCAAGATAGATGTAATGTTACATTACAAACACTCCCTTAGATTCAGCTACTGTAATTCAGTGCTCTGCTGAGACTTTCACTTCTCTCTCACACAGAATTTTCTAAACAAAATGTCTGTCTTTTGGCTGAACAATCCCAAGCTTAGTCTCAGTCTAGGAGTTAACCTTCTCCTAGTTTTTTTGATGAAAAGGAGAACACAGGGAAATCCTCATCCATTGTTTTTGCTATAATGAAAAAAAATAATATTCTTGCATTCTTGAGACTTTCTCCACCAGTAACTTTGAAAAATAGCTCAACCAAAATGGCAGAGACATCTGGTTGGAGTAAGGGATGGGGAAAAATTAAAACAAACAAACAAATAAGTACAAAACCAATAACCAACTGGAAGTCCTTCTCCTTTAGACAGCATAATGCACTAAGAAAGATTCTTTAGTTCTTTTTCTTTTATAGCTATTTCCCATCTCTGTTGTTGCTAGCTGCTGTCTTATTAACCCTGCAATACAGGAAGTGTCTCCTGCCAAAAGCATCAGCAAAAGGTGTGAATTCACTTCCTCCTTCCCCTATTTACCTAAATTTCAGTTAGATACTTTATGACCCATGCAGGGGGGTGGGGCAGCCTGAGATTATCAATCCTGATTTTCCTTTTGTTTTTATACTTGCATGTCAATTACCTTTCTTTTATTATTCTATGCACTCATTTTCTATTATGTTGTTTATTACTTTAAAAGCTCCAGGAGAGGTTTTTGATTGCCACTTAATGTGCCAAATCACCTCCTACAGACTGATTTCACGTTCAGGACTTCACTATTCTTAGCATCATTGTTCTTAATGACTATTTAATAAGTCATATGGCAGTCTAATTATGTGTCTATCCCTTCGCTATATATAGTTACTAAACACCAGTGTCTTAGGCTCTGCAGCATTTCCTCTTCTAAGAACAGGAAAACATAAAGGTTACAGCTAATACCAGTTGACGGCATCCCTATACTCTGTAGGCCAAACTGTAAATTCCTTGTTACTCACTTTTTGTTGGGTTAGGACTCATTAAAGTCCATGGGTATCTGCCTTTTAATCACATTCCTGTAACAACCAGCCACCTTTCTTCACTCACACTGACCAGCTTATTTTTGGCCCAGTACTTTAAGACAAAGCACACCACATGCTGATACCATTAACTATACAAAATTCCTTTTCGACTCAATGGGAGTTTTACGTAAGTAAGAGCTGCAGAAGGATTTGGCCCCTAGTCACTAAATGTTGATCCACTAGGACACCTCCGTTTCAACCATTGTAGAATAAAACTTTTTGGTGCCTTGCCTGAGAACTGAATTCACAATATGCCATTCAGGTATCGGAGCTCCCTACCTAGGGCTCAAGGAAAGTTAGGTGCCTACCAGTGAAATTCACAGGGCAGAAAGGCCTAAGCGCTGCGGACATCATTCCACCACTCAGCATCCCTAGCCCTGAACACCCCCTGGAGTTTGGTATCTCAGCCCTTCCTTTCAGAAGGCTGGGACTGCATGTGTCAGGTCAGGGATTGGCAAAAAGTATAAAGGAAGAAGAAAAAGTTACAACCTATTTTATCTCATACCAAACTGAAGAAATATCTGCATAGTGTGTGTAAAGTCTTTAATTAAAGCAGTTCTTGAATTAAAACAGTCCACAGAAGACCATGCAGCAGCCAGTATGTTCAAGGGGCTGAAAACTCCTTCTATCCAAGTGCTCGCTCTCATCCTCAGCAGTAAACAAGCTAAATTCTGCTGTCACACAGTCATTACTCCCACTGAAATTAATTCTTCTCTTGTTCTTGTTTATGTGGCTGTCGCTTCTGGTATCCTGTGGGACCTGCATGCAGGAGACTGAATATAATTTGGCCTGCCACCTCTAAAAACTGCAGGATTGTCCCCTGGAGGTGCAGCTTGGTAACAGCATTGTCATCAGTGGATTTACAGGAGGATCCAATTTTTTAAAAATAAATCCTAAATCTGGGTTTAAAGCTACATTTTTCAACATAAAGGTTTAAGCGTTATTTTAAACGTGAAACAATGTTTGGCTACAGCCTTAAATGTTTTAAATGAAAAGCTGATAATCAAAGGAGAAATGGGATCATTATTAGTGTTTGCATGGTGATAGCACCCAGACCATGCACCAGACCTGGGGTCAAATCACTCGAGGTGCTGTGCACACACTAATAGGGATATAGAGTGTCACGGTTGCCCGGAGCTGGCAAGCCAAGCTCACGGT